CTAGTTCCACAACCTCTCGCTACGTGCGGGGAGCGCGGTCTTCCCTCAGACGACCTTGAACTCAGCATCGCCAATGGCGCGGCGTTTGAAATTACACTGAAATTTCTGAATATTATATATAAATATATATATATATATATATATATATATATATAAATATATATATATATATATATATATATATATATATATATAAATATATATATATATATATATATATATATATATATATATATATATATATATATATATATATATATATATATATATCATGTAGATCCACAATGAAAACGTGGATAAGATAAATCTTGATAAAATCACACGGGAAAAGGGAAACAACGGAGCACCTTAGCTTTCGTCTTTATTCAAGACATCTTCAGAGGCAACTGGATTACATGGACAGAGAGAGGCTTAAATATACAGGGTGACCTTATTAAACATGAGGTCAGGTCATAATGATGTCATCCACTAATCCCCACACCAACACACACGTAGAGGAGCTTAAGAGAAGGGGGCGACGTGACTAGTCAGGTCAGGTCAAAAATAAGGGACCCACTAAATAACTATCCTACATCTAGATCAAAGGTTTTCAAAGCATTTTTAACCTTGGGCCACTGACAAATAAATTTATGTAACATATTATCAGTTTTGAACTGACCATCACTAATGTTTATTGATTTTAATTCCTTAATCAAACTAGCTTCAACCAGAAGTCTTTCTGTGACACAAGATGATTTGAATACTTCTAAGCTTTTTTCCCAAGCAATGGGATGATTATTATTCCTAACATGAACGAACAGGGCACTGCTTTCAGATGCTGTTCTGATATTGTACTTATGTTGTTTGATTCTGAGCTGCAGTGTTTTTCCTGTCTGTCCTACATAATTACAATTACATTTGCTACATGGAATACAATAAACACTTCCATTTACATTCAAACTTGGGCTATTTCTTATTAACATATTGGTAATGGTTGAGTCATACTTGAAAACAACATTAATATTTAGTAGCTTGAGGAACCGAACTAACGGGACAAATTCATTCCGATAGGGCAGAGTCAAAATATTCTTAAGTGTAGGAATTTGCCTGGTTTGAGAGGAATGAAAGGATTTTTTAGCCCTTATAAAACAACTATCAACAAACACAGAAGGGTACCCAAATTTTTGTGCAATGGAACGAATGTGTTTCAATTCATCATCAATAAATTCAGAGTCACAAATACGCAGACATCTTAAGAACATAGCAGAAAAAATTGACATTTTGGTAGACTCCAGGTGATTCGATAAAAAGTGTATGAAACTGTCTACCTGTCTACAGAAAGCCCACACATAGCAAACGCAATGCACAACAAGGAGCAATGTAACGTAGTATTAAGGGACGTAGCAAAAGCATTCGACAAGGTCTGGCACCTAGGGCTCATATACAAAATTACCACCCAAGAACTTCCCAACAACTTTACTTCCTTTCTTTGTAACTTCCTCGACAATAGAGAGGCCAAAATTATCATAAGTAACCACATAGGCCCAAGCATCAAATTATACAGCGGAGTACCACAGGGAAGTAACCTCTCGCCCACACTCTACACAATATATACGGCGGACATGCCACCTCCTAAACACGGAGAATACGTAGCTTATGCTGATGACGTCACCCAAATCATCCGACATCCAGGCAAGGGCAAACAGATGATGGCACGGAAAACAGCCCACGCCATCGAGCAAATCAACGAATATGAAAAAAAAGTGGAAAATTCAAACCAATACACAGAAACTAATGATAATACACATTGCCAAAATAAACCCTGCACCAATCACAGTCAACAACGTACCTATACAATACTCCAACGAAGGCAAAATTCTGGGACTCACAATAACAAGAACAGGCATAGCAAAACACGTAAAACAACGCAAACAGACTGCCCAATCACAGCTCACGAAACTACGAATATTCAGCAAAATGGACACCAAAATTCAACTACATCTATACAAAGCACTTGTCCGCCCTCACCTAGAGTATCCACCAATATCACTCAACACGATCAGCAAATCCAGCCAACTTAAACTTCAATCAGCACAAAACAAAGCTATCCGTAGAGCATCAGAGCAACTCCCGCCATACACCACCAAAATACAAGAACTTCACGAATTATACAATATCGAACCACTGAACATACGTACACACAGCCAAGCACAGAGAATGTGGAGCAAACTTGAAGAGATGGAGGACCCATTATTCTCCCAGTTAAAAGAAGAAGGAACTACTAAAACGCACAGCTGGTGGCCCAAGAGCCTCCATGCTGACATAGTAGAACAAGACCCACTTTACACATATATATGTGAACAAATAACACCACCATCGAACAAACATAAATTAACACCCATTACAATAATGAATACCTAGCTAGCTTAGCTTTCCTCCCCTCCACCTTCCTTCCTTGAGCGGGCGGGCGTGTGCTGCGTGCAGCCACCACCCCAACATTTCAACTCATCTCCGCTAGGTGGACAGCCCACCTGTTATCTACCCCTCCCACTTTTCTTCCCGTTTCTATGCTTTACTTCTCTCTCTTCTCTCCTTTCCCAGTGCAAAGTCATTTGCCACTTAACTTCATTATCATCATCATATGGAGAGAAGGGGTGCTTGTGGTAGAAGCGGTACCGCTCTTGCCTCGCAAGAAAGATGTCACGGGTTCGATTCCCGGGCAAGCGGAAGTTGTTTGGACACTCTTCCTAGCCCCCTTGCTCCCTGTTCACCTAGCAGTAAAGTAGGTACCTCTTGTAAATCGAAAGTTTGCGAAATCGTATTCACGGAAAGTTGTTGGAGCTTCTAAACTTGAACTAACACAATCCGGAGGAGTGGTGACCCGAGGATCACATACCCAACACAGACAAAACCAGATACGTGCGCTATGCGCTAACCAAATAAACGCAGTCGTGTAAGGCCACGGCACTATCTCTCCCACTACAATTCCCTTCCTAACCTCCTGCTCCTACCTCTGTCATCTTCCCCGCTCTACCTTTCGCTACCAACAACTTTTGGAGCTTCTAAACTTGAACCGTGGAGATCATTCTACTCTACTCTCCAGAACCAGCAAGTCCTACCAACAAGCTCCTCACCAACAAGCTCTCTCAACAAGCTCCTCACCCAACAGGACCTCTCAGCAAGCTCCTCACCACACAGCAACTCCCTAGCACAGCACTGTACATATAATATATATACAGAAAACGCATTGTGAGATCTACATGCATGTATGTATGTGAGCCTATCAATAGAGATAATAAACAAACGAAGAGAAACTTGACAACTGGCAACATACAGTACGCTACAGTAGAAAGCATAGTTACTGTGCTACTTTGACTCTTTGAGATGTTGCTGGAATAAGAGGCACGAACTCGATCCTAGTGTAAATTTCTCGTGACTCAGGGTTTTGATTGATCCACCCATGTTGTAAGGCAATGAATGGTCCTATGATGTTCGGTGAAGATGTTGTTGCAATGCAGAGCATTTTTTTTTCTTGTTTACGGGGAATAACCCTTTTACTTTTACTTTTATCCTCTTCACCACTGATCGCCTCGTTAGCCGCTTGGGCGATCGGTCAAGTCTCTGATTACTTTTCCTTTTCTTTTATCCTCTTAACCAAATGATCGACTCATTAGCCGCTTGGGCAATTGGTCACATCTCTGTTACGCACTGTTGGCAAGTACTGGGCATGCACCTGCTCCTGAATGTACCTGAACCTGCTCCAGTGTTGGTCAAATCTTGTCTTGAAAGAGCTCACACTCGGTGCCGTCACAACTCTCACTCCGAAAAAGTTTGCCCTCACAGTTTTCTGGACTTGCGGCTTCTTCAATCTTTAGCTGTGACCCCTTGTGGGACGAGCGTCTGCCAGCTCCAAGTAAGGACACTCGACTGACTAGGGCCCCTTGAGATGCTTACACACTTCAATTAGGTTCACCCCTTGCCCGTCTGTAGTATAAGCTAGGCAAGTTCAGGTGCTCCAATCTCTCAGGGGAGCTGAGGTGCCGAAGTGCAGGCACCAGTATGCCCGCCCGGGCACTGGTCATCGACCCACAACTGGGCCTAGGTGGCGAAAAAATAAGGGTAAAAAGAAATTAAAAATAGAAAAGAAAAATATTATATTAATCTACACCAGGAAGATGCCAGAAAACCAGTTTTTTGAAGTGAGACAGATTGTATGAGTATGGAAATACATTCCACAGTTTGACTGTGTGAGGAAAGAAGGATGTACTATAATGGGTTATTCTAGTGTGACCGACATCCACAGAGAAACGGTGGGCACCGTAGGAAAGAAGAGTGTTAAGAGTCCAGGGCCTTGCCAGCGGTACACAGGATGCCAAATCCACTGAACATTGCCTGTTAAAAGTACAATACCTGTAAAAGAGAGTGAAGCAACATTGCGGCGAACAGAAAGGGAAGAAAGATTATCAACTAAAGGAGGAGAGTTAATAGTGCAATTGACATTAGTGATGTAGTGGGTGTCAGTTCCAAGTAAAAATTTCAAAACTTAACATTAAAATACATATGCTAATCTCATTGAGATTTACCAGTAAGCAATCTTAGTAATATAAATTTTTAAAACAGCTGTTTATTTTTAACACCAGATTATGAATGTAGCAGTTCACAAGAAAAAACACATTTTATGTCAGATTCTAAGATGGATCAGTTAAATATTCACATTTTTGTCAGATGCTGATATGGTTTACTATAACAGGCAATAATTATACTGAACAGTATACAAGTATGTCAGAGTTTTGAATGGATCAGTTAAATTTTCTTTTTATACAGGTAAGTATAGTACTACTGTATGTGCCTAATGTTAGTGGATCATCGGAACAGGCACTTGCTATTATTAGCCTATTTAATGAATCACCAGAATAGACAGTTCATATCAGATTTCAAACAGGATCAGCTATAAAAGGCACTGTTTTAAACAAGTTTCTGACAATGGATGACTCAAAGTAACAGCCACATTTTAACTTCAGATGGCAGAGTTAACACGCTTAGCCCAAACTCTGATGCTTGTCCGAAATCTTCATTGGATTGTTGCCGATGACACACATACCGAAAATAAACAAGTTGTTGATTACCTCTCCTATATTGGCATTCCTCACACCTACCTTCTCAGTAAGTTCTTACTTCCTATCTTGCTCTAGTGGGGGCCATTAGATAAATAAGGTAAAGATTAGGGAATGGATTTTTAACATTGATCCCAAAGGGCAAAATTTTCTTTACAATAGAACCTGAAATGCTTTGTTTTCTTGGCAGTAAAGCTTGAAGAACATAATTTTCTTGGTAAATATGCCTGGAAGGCAGTGTTTTCTTGCGATAAGCTTGAAGAACGATAGTTTTTTTATGATGAGCCTGATAAATGAGGTTTTGTTGGCTGTAAGCCTAAGGGTCAGAATGTTTTAATAAATCAACTTACAAGATTGAGTTTTCTTAGCAAATAAAATACAAATTGTGAGTTGCTGTCCTTCACCTAGGTCATCCTTTCCTTTATCATATCACTGGTTTATATTTCTAAGCTATAAATTCCTACTTCTTATTTCTTATCTGACAAAGTTCCTATTCAGTGCAGGTACTGTATCCTAATTACAAGTTTTAACCTTTTTTCTGTCAACCTTGGTAAATTCTTTCTTCCTTACTGACCTAATGGCCACCCAACTAGAGGTGGCCAGAGTTCATAAAACTTCTATACAGGTTAGGGTGTGACCTTTGCCCTCCAAAAATCAAAACATGGTCCTACAATGCTGTTCAAAGTTATAGTGTTGTATATTTATCTAGGAAACACCCCTGTAAATTTTCTTGGAGATCGGTGCATGTTTGAGCTAGCACCGTCGGCTTTACAAAATAACAAGGAATATTATTATCTAATGAACAAATTTAGTGATATTTCTTTTATTAGACTTATAAGATATACTAACACCAAGCAAATGATCGATCATATCAATCTTAACACCCCTAAAACAATATTATAGATTAGTACGAAATACAATAATCCCAATAATTGCATTTCTAGGTTCAAGACCCATTTCTCTCAACTGGCGTACAATGAAAAAAAGAAATACTACTACCCCGCAATGCCTGGAGTGTTTGAGGAGCGCCAGCAGGAGATGGCTGACTTCTTCCGTGAATCTCTAGCCCAACCATTTACACGTGGCGACTACAAGGAGCTGGTAGAGCTTTGTCTGCTGCTTGTAACTAAAGGATCCGAGCAAGTGAACTTCACGATGGTCTACCCCGGCGCACTTCACAAAGCAAGGTGGATGGCTAAAATACTCTATACCCTCAAGATTGTTCTTTTGTCAGGCCAGATCAAAGAGCGGTTTCCCAAAGCCGAGGTTGTGACTAAAAGTCAAACCAGCAAGTTAGAACAGTTTGCTGTGTTCACAGTCGCTGTTTATGTCCCATGGTGGATTGATTGCCCCGTTCCAGCAAGTGCGCCACTGAATGACTTGAATTTGGTCGAAACCTTGGTTGAATTTGCCCCATCTGAAGCCACAATAGTTGACAAAGCACGTGTGGCACTTGGTAGACACACTTGGTACCTAACTGAGGAGTTGGCCCCACTGGCTTTGTTCTCGTCCCAAGTACAAGAAAGGACAAAAGAGAAGATGAGGAAAGCCCTTCTTTGCCATGAAGGCACTGAAGTTACTAAGAGAGTGGGGCTCAATCATGGAGGCTATGGAAAGCCATATCTTCCCCCTGTCCCAGAAAGTGGCACTGCCCTGGTGGACCTAATTGGGCCTGACTCAAGCCGGTTCTTCACCATTTTAGGCATGCCCTATCAGTTTCTCCACAATCCAACCAGTGAATGGGCGGATCATGACGACTACCTGAACATGAAACGGGTTGTGGACAAGCTTCAGGTCGTCAATGAGGCTGCAGAGCGTAGTGTAAAACTTTGCCATGACTTTCTTAATGTTGCCAGGGATGAGGAGCGCTTTCAAGAAGTCCTTCAAGTAGTTGAAAATGACAGACCCCGCGTTCCTAATCAGCGCAAACGATCATCTGTTTCCGAACAGAAATCATGGTTTCTTGCTCTAGAGAAATAATACCTTGTGAATATATGATAAAACCCCTTAATGTACCATGAGAGAATAAGAATGATTAACTTTTTTGTGTTAGTGATAACAGCTTTTAATTAAGACAGGCAAATGATTTGTGTTAATATCCCTTATGATGGTTGTGTAATCTAATATACTATAGGCGCATATGCCGTATAAGCAAAATCGCTATTTTTCAAATTGCTGGTGCTCACTCAAATATGCATGAATCTTCAAAATATTGCCTTTTGGATATTTTTTATGTCAATATGCAACACCAAAATTTTGAACAGCATTGTACGACAAAGTTGAGGCAACTGTTACACCCTAACACAGGTAGTATCTTTTTTATTTAAGACGGTCTTATACGAAGGAAAGTCTAAACATATCTGCAAAGTATTATTTTTTTGCACTGCAAAGTATTATTTTTTTGCACTTACAAGTACAATACTGGACAGTACTGACAACAATTTCATTTAGACGTAACACATTTTTTAACTTGTCAATGTAGTTTTTACAAATCTGGATTTCATTTTTGGGTACAAACTATTTAAGATATCTTTTGCAGCTAAACCACACAATTCTCCAAGAAATATTACCATAGTTATTAGAAATTTAAACAAACCATCACTAAACCAGCAGTAACAAAACACAAGCAATACTACAAACAATAACATTTAGGTTTAGACTCAGAATGTAATGCTCATTGTCATTGAATTGTTCCAGTTAAAGTTAGATACACAGTAGGCCAATCATTGTATCTTTTAATTCACCAGAGTAATGGAGTGACATAGGGGGAAATCACTTTTTACTCGCTACTGTACCTGAATTCCAAGACTTTCCATTCCAAAATTTTTAAGCTGTCCAATCCATTTGCCCCACTTTCAACAGCTCCAATGCCAAATGAGTACAAGAAGCTCCGTGTTAAACCCAGGGGCGTGGCTAACCGTAATGCAGGTCTTCAGTGGGTGAGGACACACGCTAAAACAGGGGTTGTTTACTTTGCCGATGATGACAACACCTATGACATTAGGGTGTTCGAAGAGGTTTGTCTTTCCTTTGAAAACTTTCTGTACTGTGAATAAAGGTTAGTTCGTTGTATGATGCTTGTGATAAATGTACAGTACAGTACGGTAGTTAAACAAATTTGTTGATTCAGATACAGATACAATAAAGGTGTTAAGTGACAAAATATGAATTCATGTATTTACAGCAAGAATGCAAATTGTGACCTCCTCATTTGAGTATGCATGTGTACTGTACTGTACTGTATTTTACTCGTACTTGCATGTCCTGTTTATTATATATATTTTCTTCAAACAGATGCGATATACAAAGGGTGTGTCAATGTGGCCTGTTGGTTTAGTGACACATACAGGCATTTCAACACCCGTGTTGAAAAATGGAAAATTCGTTGGCTGGTATGATGGATCCATAAATTCCAGAAAATTCCCTGTTGATATGGCATGCTTTGCTTTTAGTGTCAGTTATCTGTTACAGGTATGGAAGCAAAAATTCTCTTTCAATCATTATTTCATGAATACAGAAACTTGCCAAACATAGCTTTCCACATTATCATATTAGGAACACCATTTTGGATAAATATAAATATAAAAAACACAAATTCCTGATGATAACCATTTCTTATGCAAATGTTTTGTTTTGAGTTATGGGCCATTTTTCCTCCTCTGTTATTAATACTGCACTAAGTGGACAGGGCCCTTCTTAGAGGCACCATCTCACACATTAGCCCCATATTGTACTGCACAGTATACTATTAACTCAGTTATCATAATACTCATTATTGTAATTTATTCAGTTACATCAGCCTGTTGTAGTATACGTGTTCAGTACAGTACAGTACATGTATAGGCACTTCTGAGCCTTCATATTGAAATTAATTATTCAAAGTCACAACAGTACAGTATTGTCTTCAGCATTTAACCCTTCAGCTTCTGGCTAATGAATTGAATTCACATAGTCCTAGCTGTGACAAAGTCAGTAATTTTTTCTTTGATTTTTTCTTACAATAAGACAAAAAATGCATATTTAACAAAATTATGAAAAAATATTAATTTTCATTTTTACTTAAAGCGTTTTTTGTAGATGCATGGAATAACTATCACGTTAACTTTCCCGGACTGCCATTAAAAAATACGGCAGTACCGAGTCTTGTGAATAACTGTTGTACAACACAGTCTTCAGAAAACAATAAAATTAGGAGAACTGTTATTTGGACACAATACAGAAAGAAACAGTGAAGAAAATATATAGACAAATTTGGAAAGAAAAATAAAAAGGAAAAAAAAGTCAATCAGTCAACAATAAATAAGAATATAATACAAAAAATTGGGCCGGTTGCATAGGTAATTTCTCCTGGACTCTGAAACCACACTACGTATGTTGTCTCGCAAGGCTAGGTGTTCGCATATTTATACATAAAATATGACGAATATCAGATTAATTTAAGTCATAATATTTGCACTTACAGAACTGTAATCAACTTGTTCATCCTTACTTAAAGTATCTTATGAGTAATGTTATTAAAGTTTCATTCATATTTTAGTAATTATCAATATTGTTACACCAAAGTCACCAACGGCTAATGAAATCAGACAACACCCACTTATAAAAAGGCGGAGCCAAATCAGGTGTTAACTAGGTGCGATCCTTTTCAATTCTTTCACACCATACGCTTTGTTTTAGGTCCTATCCAATATACTACAGTATATAGAATTATTTTTATTATTATATCACAGTTTTTTTATTGCTTACATGCCCCCAACTATTCAATATTAATCAAAATATTCTCCATAAGCGGCCATGGTCTGCAAATTTACCTACTGGAAAAACTTGCTGATTGGTTGTTAGATATGCAGGCGCTACACATGCTGACGCCTGTTCAAGGTATTTCCCTTTCCCCCTCAAGGTGTTATGCGCAGAACTCAGCAGAAGCGTCTGCGCAGACAGAATAGCAGAAGCGTCTGCGCAGACAGAATAGCCAACGCGTTAGCTATTCCGTGCATCTAAAATAAACGCCTTTACCGTAGCAAAGAAGCACCGAAAGTTGCAAAATGACATATTTGCACTATCTACACTCGCTTGAATCAGCAATGAGAATTCTACTTTATACTCACTCTCAGTACTGTACTGCACTGTACTGTACATCCTCAGAATCAAATTATACTGAAAGCAGTTCTTTTTCTTTCTCTCTTACTTCAATAGTCAGAAGAATACAGTATTGTACCGAATTCCTGATGTTTGAATCAGTAAGACCTAAAGGCCATCAACCCTATCCAACCATATGACACACAACTTCTCTATAGCTACAATAACAAAACTGAGCAGGTTACAAGGCATATTCTCTAGCAACTTTTATGTTAAATTTCTCACTGAGTTCCAAGGCTCTTACAACTTACTAGAGCATGCAAGCATGGAAAATGACTGTAAAATGGTGATTCATATCAGAGAACACGCCCAAATAATTTAAATGCAAAGACTGAATCCCCACTGATCTACAGTCCTCAGTTCATTTACTTATTGAAATATAATAATTGTGCAATAACATGATGATTATGGGTCATGCTAAATGACAATTGAGAATTAGAATCAATCCTGGAAGCTT